ATTAGAGCTGCTCCATTGCAGCGGCTTAGTACTGTAATCATGCGCTTTGCTGTAATAATGCAGGGAACCACTCGCTATAAATCTCCTAACTGATATTTTCAGAAATAGAAGTCACGTTTTTTCATCTGAAACGTGCTGCGATTTATATTCCAAAGCCACTCATATAATGCAGAAACACTCAAGCAAGCAAAACACGCGCAATGCGCACAGGTATTTGTACTGATGCAGAATAGTACAGCCTAGCGCATTTCACACAGGCTGTTAGATTCACTTTCACCAGAAAGTCGTATGCCCAAGGTTAAAAATAAATTATGTTTATAGTGAATGCCCCTATAAATGGTCTTATTTTTACGATTTAGTTTTAATCCAAATGATGCGTGTGCTAAGTGAGCGAACATCAAAGATCACACAACAGAAGTGCGCGCGCTCACTCTCTCTCTCTCTCTCTCTCCATACCGTTAAGTAACTTGTGCATTGTTTTACTTACTTGTTTTTGACATATCCGACCGAATTACAAACTTTCCAGTGATGTCTGTGAGAAAGGTATATTCACTCGACAAGCTCGCGCGCTCAATCCACTCAGTGTGCTTTATCAGCTTGCACACATCAGCTATACAGGCGTTAATACTGAATGTTTAACGTTATGTTCATTGCATACATATACTTCGTAGACATCCTTAATCTCTTATAACGCCATTCTGTTGTCTGTGTTTCTTTGTCTGAATATAGCGCTTATCACATGCTGTGTGGTATCGGCGTTTGGTATCGGGGCATTTTAACGAGTATGAGTACGAGTACAGAAGCTCAGTATCAGGCCCGATACCGATACCAGTATCGGCATCGGTGCATCCCTAATATACATACATACATATACAGTATATATATATATATATATATATATATATATACATACATATACACACACCACATTCAGATTATATTAAGTTAAATTAATGTACAAGTATATGACTTAATTTAAATTAATGTACAAGTATATGATGTACATTAAGTATAAGTATTCTTATGACTTTGCAATGTAAGCCTCATAAAGTATGTAAATACTTGAATGTTTCACAGCTGTTTCAGACAGTTCCTTAATTTGAAACTTTATTTACCTGTCATCTCTCTCCCTCTCTCTATTAATCTTTGCTGTCTATACATCTGTTTTTCTGTCTTATTTGCTGATAGTAGTATTAGTATACTTTATTGTCCTCAAGAGGAAAATTGTTATGGACTACATGTTGCTGCAGACATGCAATAAATTAAAGGAATTCTTATATCGATTTAACTTACACATTGAGATTCTATATCTTCTACCAGAGGGAAGTAGTTCATATTGTAAATACAAGAAATGAGTTTGATCACCAAGAATCCTCTCTACCTGATTAAGAACACATTCCTCATATAAATCTTGAAGGTTAAAATGTTCATCATGCCCAACAATTCTCCATGCTGTCAATAACAGGTGCATCAACTTAGATTTAAACTGTACTGATAGGTTACCAAACCACACTGTGATACCATACCTAAAAATACTTTATAAAACAGCTTTATAAAACAGCAGCATAAGATTCTTGTTTACTCCATAGAGACGGAACCTACATAATAAATACAATCTCTGTTGTAGTCAAGTGCAAACCCATTCAATGTGTGTTTTCCATGTAAGTGAACTATCTATGTAAACGCCCAAATACTTATAGGTCTGTGACTGAATAATATTATGATCATGTATAACCACTTGGCGATGGTCACCTATACATTTTGGATCAAATACAATCTCTTCCGTTTTCTTTGTATTTATTATTAGCTCATTTTTATCACACCAGTCAACAAACTGACTTATTTCTGACTGGTAAATAGTGCTAATATTGTCATGCACATAGAGTAGACTTAGTATGGCTGTGTCATCTGAATATTTAAAAATACAATTTTGTGAATGCCTACTTAAGCATTAATTTGAAAAAAAGAATGGGTGAACTGACGCAGCCTTGTGGAACACCTGTACTACTGCTCTTTTGATATGAAAGAAGATTGTTTACCTTTACACATTGAGTTCTATCTATTAAAAAATAATAGGACCACTTAGTAATACATGGGTTTACACTCAGCTGCTTCATCTTATCAATTAACAAATGAGGTTGAATCGTGTTAAAAGCGGAGCTAAAATCAACAAACAGTAACCGAGCATAAGCTTTAGGGTCTTCTAAATGCTTCAAAAATCAAGTGCATAATGCTGTTAATAGCATCTTCAGTTCCTCTCTCTTGTCTATAGGCAAACTGTAAGGAATCTAGATTACTAGCAACCTCTGCTTTCAACATAGATGCAGCACACTTTTGAAAACATTTCATAATCACAGATGTTAATGCAACCGGTCTAAAATCATTGTTCTCTAAAGGCCTAGCTATCTTAGGAACAGGTATAGTCAATGTTATTTTCCACAAACTGGGAACAATACCTGAATCCAAAGATTGTTGAAATATTGGAAGCCAAGCTGGAGTCAATTCATCTGCACAACATTTAACAATATAGGGAGAAATTCCATCCGGGCCTGCTGATTTCTTTGAACAGATATGTTTAAAATAGAAATTAATCTGTTTCGGATGAATCAATGACTTATCTTTGATGATATCTGGAGAAAAATCCCTTACAGCAATACTATTCCCAGAGATATGCCCATGCTTCTCAAATCTTAGATAAAAATCATTTAAATCATTCACTTTCTGTAAGTCATAGAATAGAAAAAATAGAAACAGTATTTCTGAAAGACTGCATATTAGTTATAGATTTCATAGAGTCCCACAGCTGTTTAGGATTATACAAACTCAGCCTGTTCTCCAGGAGTTCTTTGTTTCTTCCTGGCATCTCTTAGTAATCCATTCAACTCCTTCTGAACAGCTCTTACTCCAAGACAATCATGACTGCGAAAAGCCAGTTTCTTCCTGTTAATACAGTCTTTGATCTCTTTAGTTATGTCAGGTTTATTATAAAAAACTTGTTCTGTGGCCTCACAGGAATCCGTGTTTCATTCGATCATTCGTTTTTTTATTTATTATTGAAAGTAGAAAAATTAGAAACCGGCTCCTTTTTCGTATTTTCGTTTTTTTCCAAAACAGACGCGTCTAGACCTGTCTAGACTCTGCCCCGGTACGAGTTATGTCGAGCTATTCATTAGCCTGTTTGTTTGATGAGAAAAATATGAAATGTAGTTGCAATAAAATGGGTTATTAATCCGTACATCTGCAGCAGCGGAGGACTATTATTCTGCTGCATGATACAGTGGCACGGTTTGATCTTCGGCTGACCAATCAGCAGAAAGGGGCGTTTAATTCCCGCCCACGTGTAGAAATCGAATATTCAAGAACGAAAAACTAAAATTTAAGCTGAATTCTTGTTTTTCGTTTTTCGGAAAAAAACTAAAACACGAAAAAGGAGCCGTTTTCAAATTTTTCTACTTTCAATGTTAAATAAAAAAACTAATGATCAAATGATACACGGATTCACAGGCCCCCATGAATTTGTTTAATTGATCACTTTGTTTCTAACACTGTTTTACACACCAGACCTTTACTTCTGTATGTGTCTAATAATGTCACTTTCTAAGGTGTGTGGTGAAGATCACCGGAGAGATGGTGTTGTCCTTCCCAGCAGGCATCACACGGCATTTTGCAAATAACCCCTCGCCTGCTGTGCTAACCTTCAGCATAACCAACTACAGTCGTCTGGAACACGTCCTTCCTAACCCTCAGTTACTGTGCTGGTAATAACATTCATCTAACATCGACTACAACAGAACCTTCACATAGACCTCATCATATTTGTTGACTAGTGATAAGTATACATTTCTTTATTAGTCACACAAATAATGCATTAGCCTGAAATGTATTATGAATCCATTTTTATGGACTAATTAGTAATGAAAGTGATTAGTAAAGGATGGAGAATTGTAACTTATGGTAATACTTCAGTATAACTTTATGCATTATCTCAGTGTGAGATTTCACTTCAGAATCACTCCTGAGGCTGACTCACATATACTGTATGACTAATTATATGTGATCTCCACACTTATGTAGGAGAAGTGAGGGGATGCCATAATTTATTGATCTTGCAAAAGCTTTAGACTTTTGGGTCTAATACAAAGTATTATATGCTCACCTAGGCTGCAATTATTTGATGAAAAATACAGTAAAAATGTGAATATTTTGAAATATTATTACAATTCAAAATAATTGGAAAATGTAATTGATTCCTGTCATGGCAAAGCTGAATTTTTAGCAGCCATTACTCCTTCTTCAGTGCCTCACACTCCAGAAATCATTCTAATATGTTGATTTGCTGCTTAAGAAGTATTTCTTATTTAGTGCATAATTGCTGAATAAAGTAATAAGAAAAACATATTGACCCCAAACTTTTGAATGGTGTACATGTTGATACAGGAAGAACAGATAATGCCTAGTTCTTTATTTTATTTGAGTATGATTTGCAGATTGAATGCGCTTTCAAATTTCCTACAGTGACACCACACAGCCCAATCCCAACTCAAAGGAGTTCTGGGTGAATATGCCAAACCTGATGACCCATTTAAAGAAGGTGGCGGAACAGAAACCACAAGCAACTTACTACAATGTAGACATGCTGAAATATCAGGTGAGAACCTCAAAGCAACACTGATCACAGAGACATAAGAGCACTTGTAGTCATTGGATTTTAGAAAATCTATGTCTAGTATTTGCTTCATATTTTACGCAAGTAGTTCTTAGTTGGTTTAGCTTCGGGACCTAGTAAAGGTCTGAAATGGTTAATATGAGTGAATAAAAATGCCCTTTAAAACAAAGTATTATTTTATTTATTAAGATTTATATTTTGTATTAATAATAAAATGAGCATTTCTTTTATTAAATGATTAATAATGAATGTATTAATCATTAGTAATTATATATTTTAATTTAAATTAAAACGCTTTTATTTATTCATAATTTATTAATAATCGTAATTTGAAATTATTTATTATTAATTTAATATCTATTAAATAATTTATTAATTGTTTATAATTTAATGTAAAAAATAATTCTTTTATTTTTATATTATTACATTATTTGTCATTATTTATTATTGATTTAATATTTCATAAATTAATAATTAATGTATTAATCATTATTAATTGAATGTTATTCTTAATTGAATTAATTTTAGAATTTAATTTAAATCATAGTCTTGTTTTTGAGATTGATGAGAACGAGGCCATGTCATTAACACTTCATTATCAAATCTGCCTCAGGTGTTACCGAAGGGTCTACAGTCCACTCCTCTAAATCTAGCAGTGAGCTGGAGGTGTGAGCCCACCAGTACTGATCTGAGGATAGACTACAAATACAACGGTGGTGCCATGACCACTCCTGTTGCCCTCAACAATGTTCAGTTCCTCATCCCTGTGGACGGAGGTGTCAGCAAACTGCAGGCTGTGCTTCCTCCAGCTGCCTGGTGAGAGATGAACTAGATTCTTCTATTAATGGACTACTAGTCTACAAAAATCAGACTGTCATTGTGAGAATGAAGCATTATGATTGTACTTTAGTTTGGGCGTTTGAAAAATGATACTATGAGTAGTACTAGATGTGGAAGAAGAGCATTTGAACATTCTTTACTTTCTTTCTAGATAATATAATATTTTTTATTGCTCTGCTTATAGGAATGCAGAACAGCAGAGAATCTTATGGAAAATTCCAGATATTTCTCAGAAGTCTGAGAATGGAGGTCAGATTCATGGTTCATTCTTGTGTGTATATATACACTTATAATAATTCACTTGTAATAAATGAATTGCTTCTCTTTATCTTCAGGTGTGGGATCTCTGCTGGCCCGTTTCCAGCTATCAGAGGGTCCCAGTAAACCCACTCCGGTGGCAGTGCAGTTCACCAGTGAGGGCAGCACTCTGTCAGGCTGTGACATTGAGCTGGTTGGCCTTGGATATCGTTTTTCCCTCGTCAAGAAGAGGTTCGCAGCAGGTGAGTTATGCAAGCGACATCTGTTTTGATCAGTAATGGCCTAGAAATCTTTACGCTGCATTTATTCAAAACATAAAATTGTATTTGTGCTTTTATCATAGGAAAATACATGACAGACAACTAAACGACACCATGCAAGTCTGCATATTTTGGACCAATTCTGAATATTTAAAACACAGGACATGACCCCTGCCTGACCTTATGGATAAACCTTTGTAGATGTACAATACAGGTGGACCTCACACACACTCCAGCAGTATTATATGAGTTGCATTATAAAATGTGGACCGTTTTAGGGTGTACTTCTTATATTTGTGAACTGTATTCACTTTGCAACATCTGTATTACGACCTGGGTTTGTTCGTAAGGTTCTGTCCCCCGTGTTATTGGCTGTGCCTACCTGAATCTGAAATCTCTGTATCCTTCTCTAAAAGTGATACTGAACATGTGATGTTTTTATTACTCTATGCATTCAGTTTGTCAAAAGTATCACATTTTCGAACAAGGTAGCAAATTAGAACGTTCTATAAGAGGACTGAGCCTCTGCCACAAGATGGCGCTATACTGTTGCATGTAGTATGAGGTCTGCATCGGATTTTGGTGTTGCTCAAGCGTATTTTAAAAAGCGTATTCAGGAATATCTCATTTTAATTTACACAGTGCAGTCAGGTTCATTAATTGCACAACGATAGAAATTATGTTTTTAGAAAGCCACAGTTTGAAAAATAGACTCCTGCTTGCAATAGACTCACAAAAGAACAGAAAAGTCGTTTTCAATTGATTATATATGTCTTGAAGGACGTTTGGTGTTTTCTTGTATTGTTAAATAGCCTTTCTGTTGTTCCTAAAGGAACCGTGTTAGACATCAGAGTATATCAGTCTATTTTTATTTATTCATGATTTGTTATATATATATATTTAAAAAAAAAAACTAAACAAGTTACACTGTATATGAATAGACTTTGAATGGTATCATAATTTAGGATCCTTGAAGTTTTGGACTTTTTGTTATCTGTGTAGTTGGGTAAGCTGTGTACAGTATAATGCTGAGGTATAATTTTTACATTTATTTCAGATATCATTTTTTTAACTCAAGTGCAACAGAAAATTGATGCTATATATGGGTCGGGGGTGACATTTAAAAGAGAAAACGAAACATGATACTGTATCTACCTAGATGCATCACGCTTAATGTTATTACAGTGTTATGTATAGCAGCACTAATTAGTTCAACATGGATTGTCAGCTTTGGACATTGTAAATTCTTTTATCATTCACGCAGATGTGTTTGTATCCAGCCACTCCCCCACAGCACATGTTATTGAGTGTCCTGAGCATGAGCCCCTGCGCTTCAGAACATCTTTATTTTGCTAATGGTAACGGTCTCTGTGAGATGACGAGGTTCTTGAGTGGTTAAATGACCAAATCGCTTTTTCTTTTCTTTTCGTTTGTACGCGTATCTCCAGAATTGTCCTTTAAGAGAAAATAAGCTGCATATTTTTTAAATGTTTAAATCTATGAATAAAGTGAAAAATATTGTTTCTTGTGGAAAAAAAAAAGGAAAAGGAAAAAAAAAACACTGTGTTTAACTTCCCAGATGTTCAATGTCAAGAACAAACATTTTTGGTTACATCTTTGAGTGTCTGATGTAGTGACGTCGTGATGGTTTGGAGAAGAATATACTGGTGCTTTGTAATTCATAGGTTTCCATCCACATTTAACGTTGTGGATGAGCGTCGCCATCCGTTAACGCTGCATTGCGTATTTTCTGAGCACTGTAGCTAAAGGGTTTTTTCGAAGAACAATTTGGAGTCTGTCAGCTGAAAGGAAAAAAAACTATGAATTTAATTCTGTGTAGTGCTTAATCATGTCTATGGTCTAAAGTGAAACGTCACTCAGATGCGCAATAGAAATGAGAAAACTCACGTCAGTTTAGATGTAAGTGGAGCTGTGTGTGAATGTTGAATTGCATTAGTGTGTGTGTGTGTACCTGTTTTTCTATTCTGGTGGGGAATTAAACCTGAATACACACAGACTCATGGGGACTCATGTCACGGTGGGGACCTAAATTGAGGTCCCCACGGGTAAACAAGCTAATAAATCACACAGAATGAAGTTTTTTGATAATCTAAAAATGCAGAAAGTTTCCTGTGAGGGGTAGGTTTAGGTGCAGGGTTGGTGTAGGGCAATAGAATATACGGTCTGTACAGTAGAAAAACCATTACGCCTGTGGAGAGTCCCCACAAGGATAGCAAACCAGACGTGTGTGTGTGAGTGTGTAAGAGAGAGAGTTTGTGAGTGTGCTTGTACGAGTGTGTGTGTGTGTGTGTGTGTGTGTACTGTCTGGTAACTAAATCATCTCTTCCCAGCAACATGTGCAAGCTGCGTTTGTACAAAAAATGTTAACAAAGATCTGAGAGGTTACTTTGCTCTTTCCAAAACAATAAAACATATAAGCCTGATAAGTGGATGTATTGTGTTATGTTTAAAGTTTATCAATATTATTCTAAAATATTATGCCTGAAATGCTCGTCTGCATTATGTAATAATATTATTTAATTAATCATTGAATATAGAATATTTTAATATAGTTATATATTATTACTCAGTTTGGTCCAAATTGGTTTAACAGCATTTATGGGAGAAAATAAACACCTTTGATGCATATGCAATAATGTTTATTGAGAAAGTTTGCAAAATACAAGTAAGAATGAAACACTTTAAATGCATGATCACTGCTGTGCACTTCATTATGCCGTTTCACTGCTGTTGGTGACTTGATATTTACCCTCTTACATGGTGCATCTTAGAGTACAAGTGTAGCACAATTATCTAATCCCAAATTAGACATGCTTTTTATGTAAATTAGCATCATCTACTGGCAAATTAAGCTGTTAAATGAATTACAACTGACTGTACATTTAGAGTACACTTGAGAAGTGTTCATATTCATTTGGACTCGATGTGGAAGAAAACATGGTGAGACAAATAGAAAAACACAGCTTCATTTCTCAGCAGAGCAACGTGAGGTCACTTTTCTTGCAGCCAAACTGACAACAAACATTGTTCAGGTCTCGCCTGGCCAGGTCAGATCCCAGACTCTCGCTAAGATCCTCAGCACTGCTTAGATCTCCATTAAAAAACCCTGTGTAATGACAAACACAAAATACAAAGTTAACATTTGTACTAATATTTTGAAGTCTATAACGCATATAATCAGGTCTGAAGTGATGTGATGGCAGGAGAAAATAACACAGGAGTTTTTCTGCTTAAACTCAACTTGTGTCAGTCTAATGGAATGTAATATCACCAGATGTTGTTTATCTGTTGACTGGAGGAGACTTGTTCTCACAGATATAATTAAAGCAGTGCTCTATTGAATATCATCAGACTTGAAGGGTAAGAAACAGTAAGAGGTGCACAGATATTTATACAATCATAGGTTATTTGCAAAAACTTTTGGTTCATAGCAACTTATAGAACAGTGTTTAGAGAAAAAAATATAAATGTAAATGTCAAATAAACAGTGAAAACAAAAACAGAAAAAAAATATTCTAGTTGGTCATGCTTGTTCAAACGAGAACGTATTTTCTCATTGTTTTATAGTTTATATTCCATATATATATATGTGTGTGTGTGTGTGTATGTAGATATAACAGTTTATTATATAAATATATTACAATACACCATATATATATATATATATATATATGGTGTATTGTAATATATTTATTTATATATTATTCAGTATTATTAAATACTTTCCATCTCTCTTTTTTTATATAGTCTTAATTGCTAAAATTTTTTATTGTTTTAAACTTCTTAATCTAGATTCTATTAATAATGAATCAACAGAACTTCTAGAGGATTACAGGGCTGTTGGCAAAATAAATTCTATATCATTAATAAAATATACAGTGCTCACATGCACATACAACAATTATTATTTTAGAACAATTAACATATAAAAAAGTTCTACTGATTTGAGACTTGTCATAGCACTTGCATATTGCTCTTTTGTTGATTTGGATTGCTAAATGTAAATGTATTCATATTATTAAAATAGATAACTACAATTAATTTAATGTAATAAATTTTAAAAGGGTAGAAAACAACTTTATTTCATATACTATAAACCAATTAGATATGCTCTAAAGCCCAACACTGACACCAGCATTTGACACATTATGTTTTCATAATTAGCATGAATCTCTGCTATAGCAAACTCACCTTCCATATCCTGCGGACTGCTGAACCTCCTCCACCTAGAGCCGCCACACGTGTAGACGACGGCACGGATGAACTCTCGGCCGCACAGCTTGACTGTCCTCACATCAGCCTGCACGTCTGACACGCTACACACAGCCCACAGCAGCAGCAGCAGAGCAGGACAGAGAAAACCTCTCATAGTGGCTTCAGTGAGTGCGGCTCCTTCTCTTCTGCCCTTATGTTTTCTTTCTGTCTCTCTAAGGTCCTCTGTATCTTCTGTTAACTTCTCTCAGGTCTGGCGAACATCTGATTAGCCCATGAGACATGACCCCAATTTATGGCGGCATGTTGGACGGCTCACGCTGGACCGTTCCATCCTGTCCAAATCCCACCCAACACTTACTCGATCCCCTCAAGTCAAACAACTTTGATCGGAAAACAAAGACCAGCAGGTATTTAGGTGCTTTACTGCCCCAATCTGGAATTAAATTACATCCTTAGGGACAAGCTGTTGTCTCTTAACATCTCCAGTTTAATGGTCTCATTGCAGTGCTATTCTCCTTAATGAATGGATAATCTAGTCACATAAAGACCAATGCTGCTCCCCGAGAAAAACAGATGTCCACTATCTGCTGATGTGACCGTGAAATTCTGTTACCTTAAACCTAGTTGGTCTATGAAAAAAAGTAGTGCAAATTAGCAATATGGCTATAATCCCAGGCATTATGGTTTTATGGCTGATGCTGGGCCCCATGAGATGATTAACAGTATTATCTCTACTGACAAAATAACATAAAAGTCTGTGGTCAAAACAAGGACACATAATAAAGGAAGAATATTAAGCAAAAAGTTTTGAACTTCTAGAGGATGACAGGGCTGTTGGCAAAATAAATTCTATATCATTAATAAAATATACAGTGCTCACATGCACATACAACAATTATTATTTTAGAACAATTAACATATAAAAAAGTT